ACCATTTCGACGGTAAGCTCGTCGTCCAGCAATCAGATGTTCCGTTCTCACGCTCCAATCGCTAATCGCTCTCGTACTAATAGCGGAAAGCACTTCAACCCCTACTTTTAACCCTCGCTGTGAAAATGAATCTAAAAAGAACCTTTTAGCGCCCATTTCACGAAGCTGTGTTGTCGGGTACTTTCAACGAAAATCACATTCAGATGGTGCCCACTTTTTTTTATCGCCCACCGAAATTTTCTTCTCATTTTTCCTTATTTACGGTTCGAAATTACGCGCAATAAAATATTGAAAATTGTATCGTCGAACAATTTTCGCTGTAGGTTTCATATTCCTTGTAAAGTCGTATTTGTTCGATGCGTTGCTATGTACTTTGTTTAAACGTTTAATTAATTGGTTGTAACAAGAAGACAAACGTATTTTAAGGGTTTACATTGAACACACCTCCGTTTAATGAGCAAACAGCGTGATAATGTGAAATTACGTTTGCCAGAGCTCGTTGCGAGTAATGCCTACTGGTTAGAGGTGTTTCAGTTTTTTAAGCTTAACTTTGAAAATTCGTACTGATGAAAAATGGAAAGTAACAACAGAAGAAGGTAAACTGGTGATCCAGTAATTCAACAGGATAAATATCTCACCTATTGACATAACGATATCTTCAGAAACAATTACTGAAACTGTTAATTACTCTTTTCTAAATCAATACAATTGTTCGTAGCCGCTTAAATTTATTAAATTCTGTTATTCGAATTTCCAACCAACCGTACATAGTATTTTTTTCAACGATTCTCGCCTACTTTGTATTATATATATAAAAATTTAATTTACCTTGTATTCACCAAAGACGAATCAGAATTGAATTGTGATGGTATCCGTGTGCGTTAGTACAACAATGGTTTCATTGCAATCAACGATTCGCATTTCATGAATTTCTCTTTTCATGCGTTCGCTTGTGTTTTCGCGAATCCTTCCAATTTCCAGACCCATCGGGCAACCCATAAACAATTCCGATTATCACCCGTTTGTGTACACGTGTGCACGTATGCATGCATTAAAATGGCGGTGTTCACGGGGCACTATGTTCTTTTCGCGGAGATCTTGTTAAACTGATAACAACTTTAATAACAATACCGTCGCGGGGCGGGAGGGTCGCGTATAATATACGTACATCGAAATGCATGCAAACTCGAGTGGAATACAAATCAGACGGCAAGAGGTTCGGCATAAAGTTTAAGAAGTTTGTCTCCCTGAATAAATAGCTTGTCGAGTGTCGCGGGGGACGTGAATAAATGCAGCACGACTAAGACGTTATTGCTTCTCGTTGAATACACGGCGTTGCATAAATTACCAAGTTGTAACAACGTAAAAACTCCGGATTGCACATTGACGTCCATGCAAAGTGTCATAAAAAAGGCGTCGTTGTTTATTTTTGCGAACCACAATTTGCACGTCGTTATACAACTTCCAATACAGGACATACCAAAACATGTGAAGATGAAAGTGAATGTAAGCTGTGAAGGTAACAATAATAATGACAATAAGTAAGTCAAAGATGCAATAATTGAAGGAAATAAATATGACGCGATAGAAATGCACTTGAATTATGTTTCCGGAAAGGCTTTGTATAAATTTCAATGATTATTAAATAATTTACAAATTGTAAAAGAATTACAATTAAACTATTAGAAATATTTTTCATGGTTTCACCAATATATTTGAAGACTCTAGATATTGTTTTCTCTCGTTGATACAAGGAAAACGTGTATATAATTGGAAAACAAGATGAACGTATAAAAATAAAGTCATGTCATCACAGTCGTGTATTTTCAGTCATTCTATACGAGAAGATAATTTGCGTATTAAAATTAATTCAAAATAACGTTTAACGACAGTATTGTTTCTCGATGAGCACGCGGAATAACGTAAGGTTGGAAAGTAACCGGAACAGTATAAATATTCAATATTTTAATATTATTAATTTATGGCATAAAAATACAGCGAGATTATAATACGAGCGAACAATCGGAGAGGGAACGCACATTCCAATAAATTGCTCGCAGCGAATTTAACATCGTGTACGTTGAACGTTTCACCGGGACAGCCTTATATCTCATTGAATTATTAAAGAGTGCGCGACTATTTTCGTATTTGATAGAAAAATTGCAGCACGAGTTGCATGGCGCGTCGAGCGATTACGTTTTATAAAAAATTTCACACGACCCACTAAGCGTCCCTCTTTTTTTTGTTGCTACTACCCGGCAAACGATATGTAAAAACGAAGCAGTCCACGGAAAGGGTTGTTTATTCATATATCCAAAAATGCTAAGAAACAGAGAAAAAGGAATGATTTTTGTACCGCGATGAATCCTTCGTGACGGTAGCGGATTTTTCATTACGGTTTAATTTATAACAGTGATAATGCTCTTTGGGGTGCAGTTTACAAAGTTTCAAGCTTCTTCTTTCTCGTCTCCTCTTAAAGGCCTTTTCATTAAACACCGCGTGCGTGTTACACAAGTTTTTCTTGACGTAAGCAGGATTAAATATGTAGATAAAGAACTGGGACTGAAGTTTTTACATCGCTTGTGACGCAATTTCACGTTCTTTTATTCATTACTAGTAGAACACGAGGAAAATCTTTTACATTTCATTCAGTGAACTTAACAAATACAATGCATTTCTCTTTAAATCTACGTTTGTTTAAAGAACAATAAGAATCGAGTATGTGATTATTTTGAAGTACAGAGACGTAATTTATTAATATTGTACTTATTAATATCAATTTAGTATTAAAAATTTATAAACAATTAAAATAACTGTAATATCTAGAGCAACACGCTTTATTCGGACCATGCCGCGTGAAGACTGCCGTCGCAGGACGGCTACAAAATATGTCTCTGTGGACAACAAATGAAACACGCGCCGGTCGCGAGCGCGTCGGTCCACCATACATTGTATACATGTGAATATCCTACAATAACCAACAAATTGAATGATATATCTCTAATAACAAAACGAAAACAATTAAGATGATTGACAATTTGTGAAAAAAATAGAAGAGTGATTCTATTTTTAAAACCGTACGAAAACGGTACCATGACCTTTTCCGTTTAAAATCTCATTCTCGAGGAAATCCAGTTCGAAGATGTTCATCCAAATCTGATTTTCTCAGAAACGGGTCAAATAAAAAATCCCATCCTAAGGTTAAGAATCATCTCTCTTCGTCCACAAAAACCAAAACCATTTCACCACTTATTGTCAGAGGATAACCGTATATACAACACAAATCGACTAAAAACCAAAAGACGACGCCACAAAGTAAAACTCGGTACTACGTAGACGCCAATCAATAAACAACTTCGTATAATGAAACCAAGACTGCAGAAGCACAACCGGGCAGATGATAATTATAGAGTGTCGCTTAATTATTCAATCAAAATTCAAAGCTGCGCGCGAAACGAACGGGCACAGAGTCGAATGTTATTAGCAAAGACGTGCAACATGTATTTCTTAACCGCTCGCTGGAAACAGGTCAAAGGTATGCAAATCGGGTGTTTCCTCAAAACACGTAAACCGGATGGCTCGAACTTGCTGAAAATCTCTGCCGCGACATTTTCCATTCTCCGTTCTCCTTTTTCCTCCGGGCGTCTTCTTTTTCCAGGCCATATTCGCGCGGCCACAGTCGCCACGGTGTTTCTTTTATAACCGAGCGAAAGGGAGCCTCTTTATGTGGTTTTTTTTTCGTTAGATAGCGCGGCAACTTCGTCAAGATAGACGATCCGTTCGTGAGGCCTTTTCCGCTGTGGCTAGAGAAAGACGGAGGGGTGGAGCAGATAAAGAGAGAGAAAAAAAGAAGGACGGTCGGGGAAAAAAATAAAGGAGAGAAAGAGATAAGAATCCCTCTCACGGAGCGGAGTATCCCGGCGAATCGACCCTTATCGTTTCGCGAATGGCCACGTGATCGAATTTACCCGAGATTGAAGCCGAGCGGGCACGGTCGTACGAGACTTCCGGTAATCCACTTTCCCTTAAACCGCAGCCACCCTTAAAGCAGGATGAATGGTTAGCGCGGAGAAACCAGAACCCCGAAGTAAATTCTCGAGTGTGCACCGCGGATTAGCTTTCGCACTAACTACTTGTATTACAGGGAACAGTCCCGACGAAAATTGGAATATATTCCCCCGTTCTGCCTGGCTCGTTTGACACGGCTGAATATTCTATTTTGACTTAGCGACGGTGAGCCCACACAAACAACCGGTCCCCCGCTTTTCCGCCGATTAACTCCTTGCTCTATGATTTATTTCTGAACTCTGATCGATACAACTACTTTGTTGTTAATCATTTATCGGACAAAGAGAAGAATTCTAGGTATATTCTATGTTCATGTTTGCTATAAGGCAGGCTTGTCTAATCTGCGACCCAAGACAGTTGTGAATGCGGTCTAACTAAAAATCATATGCTTACAAACTTTATGAAATTGTAACTGAAGGATCCATTAACCCATTTGCATCATTAACCTATTAACTGTGGAATTTAGTTGAAAAAATTTCTCATTTTGCGAGAAAATCAAAAAGTGAAGTGTGTATTCGTCAAACGCAGGACGAATGCACCTAGGGTATATTTGAATGAAAAACCAAAGCAAAACAAAGAAGAATTACATGTTTATCTGGAGAAATAAAGAATTTATCGTTGAAAGAATTAGTATCATTTCAAGCTTTAAGATGACGAGTAGATTCGTTAAACGCAGTTAACTGGTTAAGCAGAATAACTCGCACACCATAATTGTTGCTCATCACCAAGAGCGGAATATTTTCAACACAATTGTATTTAATCGTCTATGTGTTACTCGACTATATCGGTCGGAGCAAGTTAATTTTAATTAAAAGCTTGAAAGATTTTCAGTCGAGCATCTCTGATTTATAAAGCTTCATACTTAGAACGAAGATGCAATTGGATTAACGATATTTAAAATCGGAAACTACGAGTGAATAATTTTATTATTTAAGTAACGAGAGACTGATATGTGGTTTCTTTCTTTTAGTATTTAAGACTTCGAAGTATAGTTCAATTTTTTATGAAAAGAAATGTCAGAAGTTTAATATAGTCTCATCCGCAAAGAGTTAATAGAGAATTTTCGATCGTTAAAGCTTAATTTGTATGCGGCCCATAACGTCCCATCTTCTTCCAATGAGATTCAGAGAAATTTTTAGGTTGGACACCCCTGCTCTAAGGTATAATAATTGATAACAGAAGAATAATATTGAAATTCAATTTCAGGGGAATTGAGTAGTATTTGAATCGTTTATTTTGAAAGTATCTTAAATCCATTTTCCAGAAAAATCAACTTAATGATTATAGCAATTCCAATTTTGTAGTATCTTCTTACTTTTTAACAGTTTTTTCATTTCTTCTAAATGGACTTAAGCCGCTTTTTAAAAAAACGGCTCATTTATGCTCGTTAAATTCTATTTAGAATTTTCACCACAAGTCTGACACATTGTTATAGGGCAAGGGTTTAACGACGACAGAAATGATCGTTCACAGTACTCTTGGTTGGTTTTTGTCAACGTTTGGACACTAGCTTTGTTGATTATATAATATACGTGGTGGATTACTTTTTAGAAGCTTCAACGCTAGATTTATAGATGTATTTCGTACACTTTGTTGTATTGTTCTTAGGTCTTGGGAATTTGAACTTCAAAAATAGAAAATCAGGACACGTATTCGTATAAATACATCAGTCAAAATCGATTTAAACTTTTACTAAATAATGTTTATAAAGTCGAATATCCGTCATATTAACGGATTCTGGAAGTCTATTAAACATTCGATTTTATCGCGTCCATATCGAGTGAATTGAATTTTGTTACATTATCTTTTACTTGTTCCGATATTACGGTGTACCTTTTATTTTTTGAACGAATTTGAATGAAACAAATAAAATAGACAAGCAGGATGAAATAGTTTTCTTTCATTAGGTTGCAGCTTGATTATGCCAATGTTACTGTCTCTGAGAGGAAATAAATGAAAATGAAACGTGGCGCTGTCAGTGGTTTTTTTGAATACTTTGGTAATGAATTCTATAGTAGATTATAAATGAAATGAAATATATTAACGTGGGTTGAAGTATCAAAAGCACCATTTTCTCAGAAAAAATTCCTTTCTAATGGGCCAGGCATTCGCGACAGTTTATTAAATATTATTATTAATT